AATAGTCTGTCCCCCAAAACCACCAATCATCATTCTGTCTCCATCAAATTTGGTTGAATCTCCGTAAATAATTGATGTTTCTGCTCCAGAGTCCACTAATGCCATAACTCTTTGAATGTTTTTTCGGGACCAATAAATTGTTAATTCTACATAGGGCCTCCGGTCCTGTCTGGAGGCCCTAGGGAGACTAACATCCCTCATCACACCATGAATTGAGCTATGTCCAATTCTTTTGCTTCTGGTGGCTCAGGCATTGTAGCCCAAGACACCTGAGGCAGCTTTTTTTTCCTATTAGGAACAATAAAATCTTCTAGGTTCCATGTCGTTGTTGGCATTCTCTCTATAACCCTTACCCTTGGTTTCTTAGGGTAGGTCTGAAATTTTTGGCTGTCCTTTAGTTGTTTCCACAGTTGGAGAAGGATATGGTTGGGCTGGCCGTCAATCTTAGCAAATTGGACCCCAGCCCAAATTAAATAATTAAACATTTGCTTTCGGGAGACCCTTATGGGTCCCGATTGAGGAGCTCGAGTAGACGGCATTTTGGTTTTAGTCACCAGCAAGACCTCAGCTTCTTTTAGTGTCCGAATGTTGCACCTATTCCGCAGGCATTCTGTTTCTCCTAGATCAGCCACTAACTGCACAGCCTGCTGGACAACTGCTTCTGAGGCCACTATGGGATTTAATATAGAGACCAGAGTACCATACAGATGGGAGCGAGCTTGTTGTAAAATTAGGTCTCTCATCCCCGCTGAGAATTTGACCAGATCTGGGCCATCAAAGGTATCTTCATAAATCGCTTCCTTTACACCTAGTTCAGAGATGTAATTTTGAAGGTCCTCCATGGAGGACCACATCCCTGTATGTAAAGGAATGTCAGATTTATTGGGCCATACCATACAGCAGGCTGCCATTAACCGTTCTATTATAGAATGGTTTTCATCATTATATTGATTACCTGCATATAATCTCTGTCTGAGAGCAGAATGGACAGTCATTGTGGCCAATTTGGCTATTTCCAGGCCATTCACCAGAACACTTTCTGCCCCAGAATCCCACAGTCTTAATAACCAAGCCAGCACACTTTTTCTAGGTTTCTGCCTGAATCGTTGGACTAAGTCCATCAGTTCTGTTGCCGTGTACGGTCAGGCTGTTACATGCAAGTGGGTTTGAGCGGGGGGCCACTGATCAGGCAGCACCCCTGCTGGTCTGTCCTGTACCTTTTTTGTTTTTTGAGTTATAACAGGACAGACTTCTAGTGCACCCGTCAAAATTGGAGACTCAAGATCTGATTTAGATTGTTTATTTTCCTGATCAACACAGTCTGTTGATTCAGGAGCCTGGTCATTGTTTATTGAAATGTTACTAACTTGACCTATTGGAAGACATAGAATTGTTTTTTTTCCTGTTAATATGCCAAGTTCCTGTTCTAACTTTTCAATACGATCTTTTAAAAGTTCATTTTCGTTCACTAAAGTATTATTCCTTATTTCAGCATTGTTTAAAGCATTTAGTAGTGGCCATGCCACTGTAGAAGCAGCTAGTTGTCTTTCTCTTGTGACTAATATATCTTTGCCTAGTCCCTGAAAGTAATCCGCTAGGCAATATGGGGAAACGTTTCCCACAACACATAGGGGACCCCATTTTTCAATGATAATTGCCAAATCATAATAAGGGGATCCCGCAAATCCTGGGATCTGCCCTGGAATTATTTTATCTAGGGGGGTAGTGTTCTCCCCCTTGAACCATTTACAGAAATTCCAAAGAAAGGGCATAGTGTAAAAGGACATGGTGTAAGTTTTAATATATTCAGCTTGCCTGCCTGGCTCGCCAAGTGAATAACCAATGAAAAATATATAAAGGAATATTATATAATCAAATAATATTAAGATATTATAATAATGAAATAAGCAAGAGAGTTATGCACAGCGAGACAAAGAGAATAAATAGGATGCTTATCTGTGTTGCAGGCTTGCTCAGGAAACTCCAGTGGAATGTATCTTCTAAAGACAGAGAGAGAGATCTTTCCCCCCTGGTAGTCAGCTCTTAAATGGGTCTAGGAGAGGTGGAGCCAGGCTCCACCCCTTCCTGCAGCACAGGTGAATTGCTTTCACCTGTGCTCCCAGGGCTGACTCATTGCTTGCCTCAGGTGATTAATCAGAGGTTCAGGCCATGACTCAGCAGTTCCCATACACCACTATGTCATAGCTTTCCAACTACACAGTGGCCTCCAGCTCCTCCTGTTTATTACCCATGCTGCATGCATTAGTGTAAAAGCACCTGAGCTGGGCCTCCTTTTGAATGGCAATAGCCCTAATACACTTACGACCATACTCAGATGTTTCCATAGCCACCAACCTCTCACCACCTCTTGTGTTTTTCCTACAAAAAGATGAGTCATCTTCCTTCTTCACCAAGACACAAGACTGTGGGGTCTTACTAGCACATTGCTCTCCTACAAGCACTGGCATGTTATGTACACGCTTTGTTCTAATGACCCCAGTTACACCTCCACCCCCCTTTGTACGTATTTTTAAGCTCTATCAATGAACCTTCCCAACTCCCATCTTAAGATCCCTTTTCACCGGTGTGATAAGCTACTCCTATCAGTTGGATAATTGTTATAACTGTGGCCATGAAATGGTAGTTACTCTGGGGAAATGTGTTTGTGGATGGCTACAAATCTGTACAGTCAACTTCACTTAAAGCGAAGTGCTGTCTTCTCTTAAAGGAAAGTAGTATGACTACTGATGCCAAAGGCAGGTTCAGGAATGGCTTAGCTATGTAGTTGTTAATTTGGCTAGATCAGTTGCAACTTCAACTGTGTAAAAAAAAAAAAAAAAAGCCAACAACAACAAAAAAACCACTGCGTAAATAAGAATGGTTCAAGATATGTATGTTTTGCTGCTTCATAGTGGATAAGCAGTTGCATTCTTAAGGTCATTGTTGAGCATCTCTTGGGTTATGTGGCAACCACAAGTTTCTCCTATAGTTAAATAATCACCTGCAGAGCATTTACTGTCATAAAAATAGTAACAAAATGATAAAACCTTAACTTCACCTGTGTGTTAATTGTCACCAGTGCGCTAGTGGAAGAATTAGTAAATAGGTTGTTAAAATACTTCTGAGATTTTTCTCAGCACTGAAGTCCTGAAAGTTATTTTAGGTCAGAAGATGACACAGTGTTAAGGAAACAAAAATTTATTGTTGCACTTTAATTCCTGCACCCCTATTGCTGAACAGACACAAATTTTGCTGCTAAGGATTGCTAGTGATGTCATCAGGTTTCATCTCTACTCACTGCATCACTAAGTGATTTCATCTTTCCTAGGAAGCAAGTATTTCAGCTCTAAGGTCTTACATGTGTAAACAGTCTTATAATTAAGGAAATACATCATTAGGATTAGGAAGTAGAAATGACCTTCATGTTTCATCAGCAGTAGTCAAGATCAAAACCTGTTTGTCCTGTAGTAACTTACTTCTGCCACAACACATTGGATAAATGAAAAGGGAAATCTGTGAGATGTGCAAATTTTATGTAGTAGTTCTGGCACACAGTGGTTGCTATTGCCTATGTAGGCCTTTGTAAAGTCTGCTTCTGATTACTCTTTGCAACTCTTACACTTTTTTTTTTTTTTTTTTTTTTTAATTAATCAGGTTGGTTCTTGCTCTGAGTGGCAACGGGCTGAATTTACTTGAAGTTAATAGATTTGGTCTCACCTAGTGAAATACTATAGAAAGTGGTGGCAATTTAACTATTATATAGACACTTGTTTCTAAACAGCGTATTAAGATAAAATTGTAACTGCAAGTATAATTTACTTTGTCTTTTTTTTTTGGCCTGATCTTGGAATTGGACTTGATTTAGCTCCTGGACTTTCTGAGGGCAAACTGAACTCAAATCAGTCTTTCTAATGACTCAGATGAAACACTTGATCTGGATTCCTGAGCCAGAGACTTAATATATTTTGAATTATGTAATAGAGTGAAAAGATGTTCAAGCTGACAACAGAATTTTCTGTGTTTGTATAGCATTTAACTATTTGTCTGGCATCTATCAAGGAGGAAAAATGTCTTGTCTTGCAAAGTCTACCCACAAACTTTAGCTTTTAGTTCAAAAAGCTTCTGCTTCAATAGAATTTATCATAATTCTGTGGTTTCAAGAACAGCAGAACAATGATGATGTTAATTCAATTTAGAGGGAATTAATGCAGAATTATCTTACTTTGTTGTTTATGTAAGTACGTCTTCTGGAACGTAGAGAGGGAGATAGGAATTAGCAAAACTTTTAGGCAAAAATTCATACAGTCTTTCTGCTCTGTCCACTTTTTATTAGAGTTGGATTTCACTGCCATTTGATGGCAGATACTGATATGGCTCTGCCAACGCAGGCTTCCAGTGAAATAAAATGTGATTAAAAAAAAAAAGTTGACCCAATATGGGTAATGCTATTAAAAGAAATACAATCAATATAATGGTAATTTTTTTTATGAAGACAGACCTGTTGATGAGGAGGAGGATAGGATATTACAGAAGTCGCACTTCCTGATTTGAAGAATTTTGTAGTCTTTAAAAGTACTGTATCTGAAAAATATATTTTTTAATTTTTATTTCTCTATCAGTAAAAGTTTTTACTAGACAGAAGCGTGATTGAATTCTTCTTGAGGGCTGTTTTCCCTTCACTTTATCAAAACTCAATTACTATACTTGAATGTGCAAGATTGGCTATGATTCCAAGTCAAACTTCTGAAACTTTTTTTAGTACTGTTTATGGACACCCCCAAAAATTATTTCGTTGTCTAGAAAATTGCAACTCTCAGTTGCAATTCTACCATGAACAGAGTTGGGGCTGGAACCCAGCTCTGCCTTGACTGGGTCATGGGAAGGAAGGTACAGTTAGGTGTTGGAGAGAAGATAACTGTGCTTTCAGCCCCTAATGCTGCCCACCTCAGGAAAGGTAGAGAAGAAGAAAACTAACAAATGTGTATAGAAGCTCCAAATTTTATTGCAATGGCCTCCATGAACTGGAGCATGTAGCATGTAGAACCAGCACATGACCTTTTCTCTGGTAGCTGGGACCAGCTGTGAGGATTTTCAGCCCGACATTGTACCCAGGAAAGGCCTTGGCAGTCTTCTCTTAGTCCAGGGGAGCGGCTTTGTGTCTTGGCTCACCCTTGCTTCCTGGACCACATCTTTAAGCAGCTGCTGGGGAATGCCTTGGTGACTCTGGTGGTCCTTGGCTGATGTAGTTCTGGGTGCAACTGCCAGCACCTGTGTCATGGCTGATCCCACAGCATCTTCGGGGTCAGCTCTGGGAATCTGGGGCCTGAGATTGTAATGGGGAGCGGCTTCGGGTTCGGACACACCCTCCCTGTCTGGACCTGTGGCTGCCAGCTTCTGGGGAATCTCTTGAAGATCCTGATGCCCTATGGCTGGAAGATATCAAGGTCCATCTCTCAGCAGCACTTCCTAGGGCTGCTGCATGGCTGCCCCCATGACATCCTTGGAGCTGGTTATAGATATCTTCATCCTGATGTAAATGAGAGTGGATTGTTCTCTGCTCCATCCTGGTCTGGCTCGACTGGCTGCTGCTCTCAGGCACCCCGGAACTGTGAGCTGGCCCCAGTACTGCCTGGCTGGAGGTGCTGCTCTCATGTGCTATAGAGCCATGCAATGGCCCCAGTCCCTGCTCACTGGCATTGCTGTCGTCAGTAAGATCTGAGTTGGCACCAGAGGCTGCAAGGGGAGGCAGGAAGGTCAGAAGGACAGACCTTCAGCTCTGCTGTGGGAGAAGCTCACATCTCTCTTTGGTGAGAGAGGTTTTGACAAGGTGCCAAGCCTTGCCTGGCCCCAGCCCAGTGGCGTGTGGCTGTCTGTCTCTTACCAGTGCTCACGCTGGCACAGGTGTTGCACTCCCAGGTATCTGTGCTGTTGCTCAAGTAGGAACACTGCCGGTGGGTACCTTCTGCAGCACAGGAACTGCACAGAAGCAGCTGCCAGGGCCTGGGAAGACAAACAAGTTGTGGATGTGAGGTCAAAGTGAGCTAGACACATGAGTCTGACAAACCAGAGGTCAGTCCTTGCTCCCCCAGCCTGTGATGAGGATGAGATCCCAGGCAGAGCCCCAGAGGGCTGCTGAGCCAACTCACCCCTCTTCTTCTGCCTGCTCCCTGCCTCGTTGGTAAAGGCACTCACTGACATCGCAGCACCCATGCCTGTTTCCCAGCAATGCATAGGCATCATTGTCCTCCCATGCTGGTCTTCTGTCAGTGAAAGGAGGGAAAATGATGAGTCCCCACTACTCCTGAACTAAGGATTACCCAAGGTATCCCTGCTTTTCCACCCTGACTCCATTTCCAGCTCCTCCGTGAAGATGAGACCAACACTCACAGGCAGCAAAAGGCCGGGCCTCTGGGGCAGTCTCTGGGAAGGCATAGGTCTTTTGGCCCCATGTCTTGAGAGCCAATAGGACACTAACCTGTCTGGGATTTGGATTCCCATGATGCACATTTCTGTTTTAAACTTGTCCTTATCTCTGCAGTGGGGGCACTGGAAGCATTTAATACCTGCGCACATTGCCTGTCCCTGCAGCAGAAACACAAGCAGCGTGAGCTTGAGCAGGGCTTGGTGCTGCTGAGTGCTGCCACACCTGCAGGGTGAGAGGAGGGCTCCTACCTGAATGCAAGCCCGGTGAAACCATGCATGTTTGCAGGCTGGACACACCATGGTGCTGTAGGACTTTTTGTCTCCCACAGGATCCATGCAGATGATGCAACTGGTGTCTTGCTCTGGAGCTGCTTCCACTGCCTGCTGAGGGCTGTGCTCATGGCAGAAGGAACTAGGGGAAGATGGAAGGGATGGGCAAGATGAGAAGAGCTATGAGGAGGGCAGAGGAATGGGAAGGAGCTCCAGGCCTTGGCTGTGTCAGGCTGCTGGGAGGTATCATGGTAGATTCCTCACTTTCTCAGCTGGTGCCGACAGCAGGGAGTTGGCGGCTAACAGGCCAAGCATCACAGCCCTTACCTGTACTTTCCAAAGTGCTGACTGACACATTCGCCCTCCACAGTGCAGGGGAGATGGAAGCTGCGTTCACAGCCTGTTTCTGCGCAGGTGATGGAAGCCCCTCTCTTGCCACAAATGAAACAGTGCTGGAAAGAGCAGAGCAGCCCCATCAGTGGCCAGCTGTGGGCCCTGTGGGCAGGGCACAGGATGTGGGCACAGCTAAGTCACACTGCATAGCCATCTTGTGGACAAGATTCTTCTGCCAGAGCAGGATTTTCTCCTGGAGCTGGTTGGAAAGGCTGATGTTCCTTTCTTGAGAGCAGGCTAAACTCATCAAACCTCTCCTGGCACAAATCTCCTTGCTACAGTCAGGACCTCACCTTCTGTTCTGCCTGCTGGATTGTATGTCTGATGTCTTCAGGGCGCAGCACTATGATTCTGTTCAATACTCTTCCTTTTTGAAGCAGACTGGTGGAAAACATCTGTACAGGAGAAAAGAGTAAGATCTTGTTAGGACAGAAATGAAGGAACCATTGCTTAGAGGAAGGTGGAAAAAGCCCCAGAGGAACTCACCGCACAGAATGCATGGACACAGATCCCAAAGTCCACATGTTTGGGCCCACAGATGCTTGGGTCAACATCTATCTGCCCACACAGCATGCATGCTGGAGAGGAGAGAGCAAATGCAGTGAGCAGCTGGCAGGACCAGGTGTCCCCAAGGGCTGTCCCAGGGGCCTGCTCTGTGCCCTGCTTGCTGAGGGGCAGCTCTGGAGGCTGTGGAGGGGAAGGGGGTATTGCAGGCACAGTGCTCCCAGCAGGCAGCCACAGCCCAACCCTGGCCAAGGGGCTGAGGAGCCCTGCTCACAGCAGCTGGGGAGACCCTGCATGCCTCTCAGTCACACCACTTGCACCCTTCTGCCTAGTGGCAGGGGCTACATATAGGGGCTGCACTTAGGGATACTTTGATCTCACCCAGCTCCCCTGATTCTGGGGCCTCCTGCATCCTTGCAGACATGGTACACATTGACAGTGAGCACTTGCAGAGCTCCTGCCCTGACAACACTGGGCTTTCTCCTCTGCACACTCCTCTGCCAACCCTGAGGGAGAAATAGGATGATGGTGAGTTTGCAGCTTAGGGCATGTCAGCAGCCATGCGCAGCCCCCTCCTCTCTGCTCTCTCCGCACCTCACCAGGTCACACTGATGCTGCCTGACCCCAGCAGCCTTTGCTCTGCTCCCAGCCCTGCATGTCATAGTGGGACCACTCCCTGCCACCACTCTGACATAGTCACCACCTCACCATGGTGAGGGCCTTTGGTACCCAAGCAGGGGGATGACAGTTCTTGCAGCCAGTGCAGAGTGAGTAAGGTGCTTGGGGCTGACCATGCTGCAGAAGGATGTCCTCTCTCCACCTGCTGGCAGTAGGGCTGCCCCTTGGCCAGGGCTACAGCCCTAGAGCCACACTCAGACATCTCTGCTTTTTCACCCCGATCCTGTTTCTAGCTTCTCCATGAAGATGAGGTGAACGCTTACAGGTAGTGAAGGGCCAGGCTTGCCAGAGCAGTCCCTGGGAAAGCACAGCTCTTGCAGGCTCACCGTCTCGAGAATCAGCAGTACAATACCAATCTGAGTGGGGTTTTCATCCTTGCAGTGAGCATTTCTCTACAAAATCTCTTCTTGTTTCTGCAGAGGGGCCACTAGAAGCAGGGATGCCACTGTTCAGGGGCTGTCCCTGCAGCAGAAACACATGCAGGAGGAGTGTGAGTGGTTCCTGGTGCTGCTATGTGCTGCCGTGCTGCAGGATGAGAGGAGGGCTCCACTTGGATTCAGCCCCACCAGAACCAGGTATGTGTGCTCTGCAGGAGCTGGGTGCTCTCTTTTTTTTCTTACTCGCTTTTTAAAAATATTTTAATACAAATTATAAAGAAGAAGTTTGGTTGCTTATATAAATTAACTATACATATATTTTATATGTGGTCCAAGACAATTCTTTGGTCAAAGCAGCCCAGGCAAGCCAAAAGGTTGGAGGTTCATGGGCTATGCCTAATGTACTTCCAGTTCAGCAAGTTTAGAATCTAAAACCACTATGGACTAATAGATGAATAGTATTTTTAGCATGATAATCTACTCAAGGCTTGATTTCTCTGTTTTAGTTGCATTTTTGTTGTGTTATTATCATTAAAGATACCATTTTGATTTTTCATTTAACAGGAAAAAAAGTCATAATCCTGGATAGGTAGATGCTTGTTTAAAAAAAAAAACAAAACTTCACACTAGTGCTTATATGAGGAATTGGTCATTGAGGAAGGGAAAAATGAGGCCTATTCGTAAATGCAGAAATCTTTTTTTAGTTGCAGTGGGCTGAAGACTACCATGTTTCCACATCTGGAGAGAAACTGGTAGAAGCAAAGTTTTGGGTGTGATACGATTGCTTCAGCAGAAAATGTTAAGGAATACTGGAAGAATCTGAAAGGCCTACATTTGCAAAGAACTAAAGAGCTTCAAGGATGAGAATGTAGTTAAATTAGGTTAATGGCAGGGATGAAAGAAGTTAGTAGCTGGCTGCGGTTACAGTAAGTCCTCTAGGAAATGATAATATTGGACTTCATATTATCTAAAACTGATTGAACAATGAAACTGATGCAGAGGAGCAATAGAAAAAAATGTAAAAAAATATTAATGAAGTAAGTATGAAGCTCATAAACCGATAATGGAGAAAGTAAATTAATTATAGGGAATTAAAAATGCTGACAATTATGAAATCAGATATGCATAGAACTAGCTATATCTCTCTTATTTTATAATATTAATTGAAAAATTCAGATATTAATTATTGACCAAATTAATTACAAAGGAAGCGAACAAAGATTTAAAGTAATGAGTAACTAGTGAAAAGCCTGACACTATCTGATTTTTGGTGCCGAGCAAGGAGTGGAGATTTACAATAGAGAGCATGACAGTCTGCAGCATTTATGACTCTGCCAGGTCTGGTAATTGTAGATCATCATTTCAAAAAAAGGTAACAGAGAAGATGGTAGAGGATCTTATTTAAAGGAAATGTCCTCAGCGAACTGAGGGCTGAACTAAAACAGAAAAGTATTAATTTCATCACAGTGTTATAAGAATGAAGTTTTCAGCAAGACATAGGTCTGCCACTCCAGAGTCTCATTTATATTTTATTCAGTCCTAGCTGTCTTGCATACATGAGGTTAACACTGCTGAATTCAATACAGTTTATAGTAGTGCAACCTCTAAGGATGCAGCATTAGTAGGAACTGCATTCTATTTGCATGCTTTATAATGGGGTTAGAGAAGAAAATGTAATTTCCAGTTAAGTGTGTGGTTACTGTGGATGCAGGATGTAACTACAGATTAGGTTATCAGTGTCTAGAGCAGGTACAGAGTAGTCCAGAGATGATGCCTAAGATCTTTGATGAAGTGTGGGAGTTATCTAGGAATGAACATTGTCAGGCTTTTCTTCCTTTCCTGCCCTTCAAATGGAGAAGATGAAGTCTATTTGGAATATTTAAATACCATTTTTTCAAATATGAACAAATAAATACAGACAAGAAAGGTGTGCACATTGCAGCTGTAAAGCTATTATCAAACTTAGTAATGTTTATTTTCTTCCTGAAATTCTGTCTGTGCAATCTATTAAATGGTTGGGTTTTTTAACTTTTATTTTCCTTCATGTTGCAATTTAAATTATGAGAATTCTGTTCTCTGGCTTTTGTTATTGCTTGTCAGAAATGAGATGAGAGGACATAAAAGTAACATTTGCTTTTGAATTTTAGTACAATTGTTCTATCTTCGATCTGCTTTATTATACAATGAAGATGAAGAAAAAGATAAGATTAAAATTACACTCACTGACCAGCGCAGTGTAACCTTTCAAAGATAGCATGAAGTTCTTTAAATTACATACTTATTAGCAGAAAATCATAAGCTTGTGGACAGTTGCTGACAAGTATTATGTATGATATTTCCAAATAAACTCTGTCCAAATCCTTCACTTTGGAAATAGGCTGCAGTTGCTAAGTAAACTCGTAAGCCAGCAGGGATATTGGCACTATGCCTGAAAAATCAATTCCTGTCCTTAAACTTCATCTGATACATATTAGGAAAACCACAACAGGAACTAATTAACAGATTCCTGAGTTAAATGTGAGTACAGACCAAATTAAATTTTCTATATATTTCAAAGGATTATCATAGCGTAGTGGGAAGAGCACAGCTTCCTTGTTTCATTTTTAATGTTTCCATTAAAAGAATTGAATTGCTTAAAAAAAAATCCTTCCTCTTACCAAAACATCAGCTTATGGACAGCATTATGGTGTATATGTTGTGGTCAGTAACCCATTCTGTACTTTTGTTTGCATCATTTTCGTTCTTTGTACAAATGGCTTTGTCTTACTTTCTGGTATTCCAGTCTAGAACATAGAAAGAACAGTTTAGGTGAGAAAATAAAAACTTGATTATTTCCTTCCCTACAAACCTTTCTCTACAGGCCTTACAAAAAATAATACTAACCTAACTGTACTTTCCACATAGAAATCTGAATACAGAACCTGCAGGTCAGCTACAAAATATATTCATTTTCTAAATACAAGGCTAACTACAGATCGTGCTCTCCAGTGAAGTTGTTTCCAATATTTCTCCTACTAGTTCATCTAAACAGACAATTCAAAATGCTGTACAGGATAAGCCAATATGCTCAATAATCTCAAAGTAGGAATCTGTGACCAATTCTCAAAACTTATAGCAATTGATTTTTTTAATATAAATTCATGCTGTTTTACTGCTGTTCACTGCATTAAATACCAGTTTCGTACTTTCTGAACATGTAGATACTTATTGCAGTTGCTAAGAACAGGTTGTAAATCTGTGAACTGAAATACATTGCTAAAGCACACTAGAAATAATATAAATAATACAAGTAGCATCTAACTACTAGAAAACATTAGAATTTCTTGAGGCAATTGTATAAATTGTATAAATTGTATAAAACTGACAGTTACCGAAACTCGTCCTGCTCAGTAGACCAATGGCAGGTGAATATTAGAAAAGCAACTGGTTTATCAGTTTGTAAACCACTACAGAGGGAAGTAGTGACTAACCAGCTAGCAAAACCTTCATGACATAGGCCAACATTCCAGGTGTACAGCAGGAAGGAAAGATTGGGCTTGTTGTGCTACTGCATTCCTGCTCTGAGAATATGTGATATGTTCTCTATCAGAAAGAAGGGCTGCAGTCAAGGCTAGCAACTAAATTTGTATAGCACAATTGCAGTGGGGGTTCTCTGCTAGCTGTGAGTGGCGAGATGCTGAGGAACTTTTCCTCCTGTAGGAGTGGAAAATGGAAGTCTGGAAAGGTAAATTTGGTGATGATGTAGCTATGGCCTTAGTGAGAATGCTGTGAATGCCAGTGTCTAGGGTACAGTAATGAGCCCTCAGAGCCCAGTCTGTCACACCAGCTGTTGGGATCAAAGTATTTATGGAGATACTGGCTTTTGGATACAATAATATCCTGATTATTAGCAGACACTATTATTAAAGACAATGTGATACTTCTAGACAGCATGGACAAGAAGGCTCTTGTCCAGTTTTCATTAC